AATATTCTAAAAGAGTCCAGTAGCCCATAATAGCATTGGGTCTTCTGTTTAACTGGCAATGTCAGAAATTATTGACCTGAGTCCCCCACAGTTCTAGCAAATGTAATACAGTAGTCCTGATGCCTATTTATTGGTCACTTCTTCAGATTCCCGTTTGACCTGTTTTTGCTGGTTCTCTCACCAATTGGCTAAATAAAAATTTTCAAATCTCATCATTTTCTGTTATATAAGAACCATTACTATACTTTTTAATTTAATTTTTTGAAGACAGAATCTCACTATGTAATTCAGGCCGGTCTTGAACTTGCAGCAGTCCTCTTGCCTCAGTCTCCTGAGTGTTGAGATTACAAGCTTTTTTAAAAAAAATAGGGCTGGGGAGATGGCTCAGTGGAATAAGCACTTCCTTGGCAAATGCAAGGGCCCGAGTTCAATCCCCGGTTCCAAATAAATAAATAAATATAGTGCTTTAAAAAAAAACAAGCTAGCTGGGCATGGTGGCATATGCCTGTAATCCCAGCACTCAGGAAAATAAGGCAGGAGGATAGCTGCCAGCTTGAGGCCAGCCTGAGCCACATAGCAAGACCTTTTCTCAAAAACAATAACAATAAAACAACACAAAAACTGAAGTCTGACAAGGAGTTAAAAATATAGATATTTTCCTAGAGGGGCCGGGGAGATGGCTCAGTAGAACAAGCACTTCCCTGGCAAGCACAAGGGCTTGAGTTCAATCTCAAGTTCTCCCCAAAAAAACAGAAAGAAAGAAAATACTAGCCAAAAAGATATTTTCCTATCTTATAATTTATCTAAAATATACTTAAAATGGAAAATTAAAGATATAAATAGGCAATTTATAGTAAAGCAAATAGGAAATCCAACATTTTTTTAAAAATGGTGTGTATAATCAATCAGTGGAATGCACATTAAAGCCCTTATACATCAGTTTAAACTTGGATATTGGACCCTACCCAATACCATCTACAAAAATTAATTCAAATTGAAAAATCTCTAAACAGGCCTATTGGTACAGCCCTGTAAACTCAGGATTTCTGGGGGGCTGATGCAGGAAGACTGCAAGTTCAACCTCAGTCCAACAGTTCAGTGCTTAGCAAGACCCTGTCTCAAAAAAAGCAATCAGGCACAAGCGAGATGACGAAGGAAACATCATCCTGTGGAAAGCGTCATAATAAGATGCACATATTGTGCCGCCGTGGCTCTAAGGCCTACCACCTTCAGAAGTTGACTTGTGGCAAATGTGGCTATCTCGCCAAGCGCAAGAGAAGGCATAACGAGAGTGCAAAGGCTAAAAGGCGACATACCACTGGAACCGGTCGAATGAGGCACCTAAAAATCGTATATCACAGATTCAGGTGTGGATTCCGTGAAGGAAGGACACCTAAACCCAAGAGAGCGGCTGCTGCAGCATCCAGTTCATCTTGAGAATTGCAGCAATCACTCAAAATAAAAGTTTTGGTTTTATTTTTATTTATTTATTTATTTTTTAGCCTGATCAATAAAATATTTTTATCACGAGAATGCCAGAGACCTGGCCGTCAGTACGTCAGCCTCGCGCGCCCTTCGTCTTCGCCCAAAAGTTTTGGTTTTAAAAGAAAAAAAAAAAAACCGATCAATAGAATTTATTTTTTATTCATTTTAATGAGAAAAAAGATAAAATAGCAATGAAATAGTTTCAAAACAGGTTAGCAGGACAGTTACAATAATTAATACATTGCATATTGTTGTCTTCGGATTAGTTATTCAGAGGACAAGATGCAGACATGATTATCTTATCTAAACAAAATTAGTACAAACCTTTCTTCTCAATGAGCTAAGAGAAAGTAGCTGCATATCTATTCTAACTTGTACATACATATACTTCTAATCAATTTAATAAAAATGGGTAAAAGACTTGACAGATACTTCTTCAAAGAAAATATATAAGCGGACAGTAAGCACACGAAAAGATGCTTAAATATCATCAGCCATTAATTAGCATGATATATGACTATGCACATTATAAATATTAAAATATGCATTATATATAGAACACAAACTTTATTTTTGGTAGCAAGGATTAAACTCAGAACCTTGTGCGTGCTAGACAGGCACTTATTCTGTTGAGCTATATCCCAGCCATAAACCTTATTTTTTAAGACTAACAGATTTCAGTCACTAGCAGGATGATGCTTTAAATGAAATCTTAGCAGATGAGAAAGCCATGACTTGGAGCACACACATACTGAATCTATGTAGCTACTTGGCTGTAGGGTTTTACCTCTCCGAGGGCTGGAACTTGGAGACCCACCATGTAGTTCTGTGGGGGCCCTAGAGGATTGAAACACTCAGGCACAGAGTAGGCGGCCTCCAAGGTGACCTTCAGTAGGTTGCTCCCTAAGGCCTGGGCCGTGGTCAGTAAGGGCTCTGCCACAAACACTTTAACTCCAAGACTGCACTGCTGTAAAAGATTAAAATTATGTAGTATTTTGAAAATGGTCTTTGTAATTCAGGCTGGCCTTAAACTCACTACGTAGCCTAGGCTGGCCTCCAAACTCCTGCCTCAGCCCCCCAAGTGCTGGAATTACTGGTGCATAACAATGCCCAGCTGCTCCCCCTTTTTTTGCACTCCTCAATCATAGGAAATTAAACTTATGAAATTAAAATATGAAGATTAAATTTATTTCCAAACAGAGGAGTGAAATAACTTTCCCCAGTTCCTGTAAGTTACAGAGTCAGAGAACCTTACCCCTAAAGTAAGACCCTTCCTACTCTGTCACTGACTGGGAAGAGGAATTACAAGATTGGATGATCCTATACTGAAATAGCAACAGTAACTGCACAGGAATGACACTAGGGTGCTTTTTTACGAACCCATAATTATTATTGCTTTTATAATTTAATTAATTATAATGCTTTATAATAATTTTTTTAAAAAAATATATAAATCCATATATAAACATGTCTGTATCTCTGATATTTTCACACAGAATGCAAAACAAAATATGTATTTTGGGGCCGGGATGTAGCTCAGTGGTACAGTACCTGCCTTCCAAGTGTGAGGCCCTGAGTTTGATTCCCAGTACCAAAAAATGTGTATTTTTTTGGGGGGAGGGGTCAGTGGCATGAGACAGTGTTTTGCTTTTGTAGCCCAATCTGGCCTCAAACTTGTGGTAATCCTCCTGCCTCAGCCTCCCAAGTGCTGGGATTGCAGGTGTGCAGCACCACACCCACCTAAAATGTATATTAATTGCTAATCAGATGCTAGTAGCTTTATAATGGTACTAAGGATATAAAGATAAAGAAGAGGGGCTGGAGAGATGGCTCAGTGGTCTAAAGCACCTACTTGAAACAAGCTTGGCAAAGCACAGGGACCGCGGTTCGATCCCCAGCACCACATGCCAGCCAGACCCGCCCCCTGGTGGGCTGAGCTAGCCACACACACACACAATAAATAAATGTAATAAATAAAAATAAATATTAAAAAAAAATAATAAAAAAAAATAAAGAAGATATGGTCAGGTACATCATGAAATCCATGTAGCTCCATGTTTTACGGCAAAAATGCTACAATAGAAACTGCCTAGGGCTGGGTATATAACTCAGCAGCGTAAGCACCTTCCTGGCAAGCGCAATGTCCTGAAACTACAAAAAAGAAAGAAAATTGAGAGAACTGCCCACAGTGCTCCAGGTGAGAAGCACCAAGAAGGAAGTAAATAATTACTGGGCTGGGGAGGAGAAGGTTAGAAAATCTGAACTTCCTTTTATGGAATGAATGAGAATTTGCAACAGAGAAGCAGAGGAAGGAAAGAGAAAATAGTTCTGGACCAAGACAAAATAATCCCAGCACCCTGGAGGCTGAGGCAGGAAGATCTATTGTGAGTTTCAAGCTAGTCTGGGTTGGAAAGTAAGCTCCAGGCCAACCTGAACTGCAGAGTGAGACCCTGCCTCAAAAAGACAAAAAAGGGCCCGTGAGATAGCTCAGCCATCAGACCAAAAGCGCCTGCTTAGTCAGGCTCTGGGACCAGGGTTCGATGGATCCCCTCTGAGTTGGCCACCAGGTCTGGGTGTGGCGGCGCATGCCTGTAATCCCAGCGCTGGGGAAGCTGAAAACGGGTATCACTATGAGTCCAGCTGCATATTGAGACCCTGTACCAAATACATTTTTTTAAAAAGACAAAAAAGGGGGTTTGGAGGTGGCAATAATGTGATACATGTATTCAGTTCAGGGGTAATGGGGCCAGGGTTCTACAGCATAAAGTACAGAGGAGAGCTGGGAAAGGGTTCGAATTAAAAAATCCAGACCTTACCATGAACTCAATGGGTGGACCCAGGACCCACATTATACTGCATAGGCCAAAAGAGGTGATCAGAGTCACTTTCCAGCTTGAGGAGGAGGAAGGCAAGGGCAGTTCCAAGTCACTTGTAGTGAGCCAGGTGAGAGAAGGAGGCAAGAAGAGTGGGAACAAAGCCAAGAAGAAAGAGTCTGAAGACAGTTTGGAAACAGACAAGGTTGGACTTGGCAAAAGGTGGACTTGGAGATGGGTAACAGGTGGGATCCAGGGAGAAATCACGGATGTAATTTAGGACCTATGCTCTGTGTTTCACAGATGGATGATGCCACCAGTCAAAAAAAGATAGAGCTGGGTTTCTGTGGTAGGGCACTAGCCTAGTAGCATGGGCTCTGGGTTCAATCCCAAATCACATCAAATTAAGTCTGGGGCAGGAGAGACAGCTCAGTGGTATAAGCGCCTGACTGGCACACACAAGAGCACAAGATCCTGAGTTCGATCCCTGGTCCTGCAAAAAAAAAAAAAAAAAAAGGCGCGGTGGGGAGGGTGGAGCAGGGAGATAGCTCACTAGAATAAGTGCTTGTCTGGCAAGTGCAAGGTCCTGAGTTCAATCCCTGGCACCGCAAAAAAAAAAAAAAAAAAAAAAAAAAAAAAATCAAAGTAAGTCCTTTAACAATATGATAAAAGCAAGAGGAGGCTTGAAGGAATGCACAGCATTCAGTCTAGCAATGTGCAGTTTTGAATGCCTGTGGGGGACATTCTAGAGAAATTCTGCAGGTAGTGTTGCAATCTGGTGCTCAGGAGTTCAGGAGGTTGGCCTGGGCAGGGGGGCTGAGGGAGCAGTCTTCAACCAGAGGGAGGCCACACCCACGCCTGACAGTACTGTTTTCTTCAGCAGCACATGGCTCAAGCAGAGCTAAGCCTTTCCTACAGCTCCCCTCAGGCCAAGGAACCAATCCTCTTCCATCCCCCTCACCCCCACAACGCTTATCTGGATTATAATTAGCCCGTAACTTGTAGCTTATGAGCTCCCAGAAGGCAGGGCCCTGCCCATCTCACCTCTTTTCCAGACCTCTTGCTGGACGTGCGGTGAAAAGCACAAAATAAGCAAGAGAAGGCTGGAGTGCAGCAGCAGGGCTCGAGCCCAGAGCACACGGGGCCCACGAGTTGGGCTCACCTGGACTGAACCCTCAGCAGATGGGCTGGCTACACCGAGTGGCAGGGCAAAATGCTGAGTTACAACTCTTGATTACCTGAGAGCCTGGCCGAGGAGTTTCTAACGGGGAGCCCTGCACGGGGTGTACGGGGAGCATCATTTCAAATGAAGTCTCTCCTGGGAAAAGAAAACGAGACAAGTGCGCTCACTTTCCTCACAACTGCCAAGTGCAGTGAGGCTGAGCTTTGTGAGTCTCAGGAGCTATGGTTTGTGAGCTTGGCTGTTTCTCCTTTTAGGCAAATTGCTTATCTGACCTTCCAGTAAAGGAAGAAGGTCCACCACGGCTTGACCAAGAACTAAGGTCTTCTCTTCTTTCTGTTTCCTTTCCTTTGGTAAGACTTCAGTCATGGTTACTAGAAAAATCAAAACAAACAAAATGAGAAAGTTTCTGACTCATCAGATAACCAAGGTACAGCAAGCAAAGCACTGTCAAAGAAACTGAAGAAATGGGCCAGCGAGATAGCTCAGCAAACTAAGCACGTGTTTAGGCAAGCACAGGGACCACAGTTCCATCACCGGCACCACATGCCATGCTGGCCCTGCCCCCGGGCACACTGAGCCGGCCATGGAGACTGAGCATGGTGGCGCACATCTGTCATCCCAACATTGGGGAGGCTGAAAACAGGAGGATTACTACGAGTGATCCTTTATTTCCTTTTTTTTTTCCATATATATATATATGAAAAATTGTCTTAAGCTTGGGGTGTAGCTCAGTGCATAGCTGCTGTAAGGCCCTGGGTTTGATCCCCAACAATGAAGAAAAAATTTGAAAGCTAAGAAGACACCAAGATCCTTGATTTCAGTGGAAAATACTAAATGATCTCAGTGACCTTTGAGCTCTAGCCTGCAAATGATAAGAAACAAATTTTACATGGGAACTCACAGGTATAAAAGTAACTGCTACAGATGACAGATAACAAAATTTCATATAATATAATCCATACTAGACCAAAACCCTAAGTGTTTTCTATTTTACTTCATTTAAAAAAAAATGTGATCATGACACCAGCCCCCTCCCTCGATTTCAAGAGTGGCTAAAAGTCACCACCTGAAGTGTAAGAAAGGTTTGTCTTAGGTCTTCCCATACTGCCTAGGACAGGGCTTAGCAGACCTTGGCCTGACCCCCAGGCACAGATTCTCACTAGACCAAGGATGGTGATCCTCTTAACAACCAACCCAGTGCCCTAAACTTCAACCCCAAACTCACTCATTTATCACAAAATGCCAGCGCTGCAGTTAAACCTGAAGACTGGGGGTTTTGACTTCGAATAAACAACTCATACATTAACATCCTTTGCCTTCAAAGCAAAGCAACAGGTGTGCCACCACTACACGAGAGCCTTATTACTCTGTGTGCTTACTGCTGTAAAAATGGCAAACACACAAAAATGAGCATTCACAAATATCGCTGCACTTAACAATGATTAGCAAGTTGTCATTTGGCTTCGCCATACCTGGCTATTTGCTGAAATACTTTCATATGTGCTTTGTTTTAACGAAATAGTTTCAAGTAAATTTCAGGCTTCATAACATCTTGCTCCTAAAGCTTACAAACCCAAAATATGACATTTTCCTACAAAATATAATATCTGTGTCATATCAAGCAAGTGTGCATCAACAAAACACCTCCTAAATTCATCTATAGTCTATTCCCAATTATTCCCAAATTTACTTTGTAGCTGGTTCATTCAAACTAGGATCCAAAGATAACTTGGTATAATTGGTCATGTTATGTTTCTTTCCATTTTGAAATCTTTCTTTTTTTTCTTTCCATATACTTCTTCTCTATAACATTGATTTGTGGAAGACCCTAGGCCAGTAGTTATGCAGAATAACAATACCTTGGGGATATATCTTTTTTTTTTCTACATTATTTTAAATGTATTTAGTACAGGGTCTACAGGGTCTCACTATGTAGATCGGACTTGTAGCAATTCTCCTGTTTTCAGCCTACCAAGCACTGGAATTACAGGAGTGCAGCACCATGTCCAGTCTCAATCGCTGTCTCATTGCCTCCCAGGGGCAGGGCCAGCACAGCACGCCTGTGATCGAACCCAGGCTGCTGTGCTCTGCCTAGGCAGGTACTTTAGTCTGCTGAGCTGTCTGGCCAGCTCTTACCTGGTGTTTTTTAAACCTTTGTGTCTGCTACAAACTCAGGTTCAGCTCTGGGGTTTTCAGCAAAGATGATAATACAAATTGATAACGAACTTGCCTATGTGGTTGTCAAGCTCTTGTGATCTCTTTCAGCTGACAGATGCACATGGCATCTAAGGATAATTTTATTTCTCTTATTGAAGTGAGAATAAATATTTTTTCATATTCTTGACCAGTTATACTTCATTTCCTGTGAAGTTTTCACATTTTTTTCATGTGTTTTATGCAGTTTTCTATTAAGTTCTTGTGTCCTTCTTGTTGATAGGTAGACTCTCTCTTTTTT